GGCCAGCAGCCAGCGTGAGCGGCCAGCAGCCGCAGTGAGCGGCCGTCCAGAAGCTGGCGACTGATCTGCCTCGCCAGAGAAGAGCGCAATGATGGTGCCGACTTGGGCCGGTGGGGCAATGTCCTCCACGACTAGACTGAGGAACAAAACGACAGCAACTTGTCTGTTCCCCTTACTCCCAATTCCCCAGCGCTGTTATCCCCCAATTCCCCAATAAAAAATCTTAAAAAAAAAAAGATGAAAAAGAGACAGTAGTTTGTTATTGAGATAGTCTTCCATTGTTGCCATTTTTTCACTTTCAAATGCAATTCTAAATTTTTTCTTCTATCATTCTATAAATCACTAAATTCACATTCTTGTATTTCTTCTATTAAGACAACTTTTTTCCTTCGGTTTTGGCCCAAATGAAAGGTTGACCTCAGGTGGGAGGTTGACGTCAACTTAGAAGTACGGCAATGACACCTCTCTAAGAACAACAAAAGCAAATGCACTTGAAGATGAGAAATGCATTGAAATGGGGAAGTTAGATGGGATAATGCCAAGGATTTGTATTTAGTATGGTCGCCAGGTCTCTCAACTGATTAGTGTGGAACAGTGCTGTCAACTCTGGAATCACCTGAGGAGCTTTAAAAAAGTACTTACGTCTGATTCGTTCTCCTAAAGGTTTGAATGTAACTGGTCTGGGCTGGCCTGGGCATTGGGATTTTTTTTAAGTTCTCCAGGTGATTCCAATGCAGTCAGGTTTGAGAAACATTATTTTAGAAGATGCTATATGTATTCACCTGTGTGAGATGAACTTAGGGAACGCTTCCTGCCTGAGACCAATAACAATCAACATACCTTAGCCTCCTTCAGTATAGAGCTACGGTCGGTATACAAGCCACAGTTGTGCCTTGCACAAAGGCGCCTGGCAGAGGCACTGGATAGGAGCTGAAATACAGCCCACTTTTTTTTTTATTAGTTTCAGGTGTACAAAACAATGTACTAGTTAGACATTTACACCCCTCAAAATGATAACCCCCTTCTCCCAATCTGCTACCCCTCTGATATCGTATATAGCTGTTACAATTCCATTGATTCTATTCCCTATGCTGTGCTCCATATGCCATGACTATGTATATATTTAATTATAGTTGACATTCAATATTATTCAGTTTCAGCTTTAGGTTTACAGCGCAGTGGTCAGGCATCTACACCATCCATGAAGTGGTCCCCCTAATAAGACAAGTGCTTATCTGACCCCCTACAAAATCTTTACAGCATTATTGAGTATATTCCCCAAACTGTCTTTCATATCCCTGTGACAATATTGTGACTACTAATTTGTAATTTCTAATTCCTTTACCTTCTCCCCCATCCCTACTCCTCTCTTATCTAGCAACCCTCAGGGTTTTTTTCCCCTGTATCTCTGCATCTGTTTCTGTTTTATTTGTTCCTGTTCTTTAGATTCCATATATAAGTGAGATCATATGGTATTTGTCTTTCTCTGTCTGACTTATTTCACCTAGCATAATATTCTCTAGGTCCATTCCTGTTGCAAATGGGAAGATTTCATTTCTTCTTTATGGTCGAGTAATACTCCATTGTATAAATGTACCACAGTTTCTTTATTCAATCGTCTATCGATGGGCATTTTGGTTGTTTCCATATTTTAGCTATTGTGAATAGCGCTGCAATAAACATAGGGGTGCACATATTTTTTTTAAATTAGTTTCGGATTTCTTTGGATAGACACCCAGGAGTGGAATTGCTGGGTCATAAGGTAGTTCCATTTTTCAATTTTTTGAGGTATCTCCATATAGCTTTCCATAGTGGCTGCACCAATCTGTAATCCCAAGCGTGCACCAGGGTTTCCTTTTCTCCACATCCTCTCTAGCACTTGATGTTTGTTGATTTATTGATGATAGTCATTCTGACCAGGGTGAGGTGGTATCTCATTGTGGTTTTTATTTGCATTTCTCTAATGATTAGTGACGTTGAGTATTTTTTCTTAAGTCTATTGGCCATCTGTATGTCCTCTTTAAAAAATGTCTCTTCATGTCCTCTGCTCATTTTTTAATTGGGTTGTTTGTTTTTTTGGTATTGAGTTGTATGAGACTTTTATAAATTTTGGATATTAACCCCTTATTAGGTGTATCATTGGCAAATATCTTCTCCCATTCAGTAGGATGCTTTTTTGTTTTATTGATAGTTTTCTTTGCTGTGAAAAAACTCTTTAGTTTGATGTAATCCCACATGTTTATCTTTTCTTTTGTTTCCCTTACCCGAGAGGATATATCAGTAAAAACATTACTAAGGGTAATGTCTGGAAATTTGCTTCCTATATTTTCTTCTAGGAGTTTTATGATTTGGGGTCTTAACATTTAAGTCTTTGATCCATTTTGAATTTCTTCTTGTATATGGCATAAGAAGGTGGTCCAACTTCATTTTTTTACATATATCTGTCTGATTTTCCCAGCACCATTTATTAAATAGATTGTCTTTACCCCAACATAAATTTTTGCTTCCATTATCATAGATTAAATGATCATACAGGCATAGATTTATTTCTGGGCTCTCTATTCTGTTCCATTGATCTATGTTTCTGTTTTGATGCCAATACCATGCTGTTTTGATTACTATAGTCTTATGGTATGATTTAATGTTGTCAGATAGCGTGATATCTACCACTTTGTTCTTACTTCTCAAGATTGCTGTGGCTATTTGGGGTCTTTTATGGTTCCATATAAATTTTAGCATTTTATGTTTTAGTTCTGTGAAAAATGTCATTAGTAATTTGATAAGGATTATGTTGAATCTATATATTGCCTAAGGTGGTATGGACATTTTAACTATATTAATTCTTCCTATCTATAAGCATGGTATATGTTTCCATTTATTTGTATCTTCTTTAATTTCTTTCTTCAATATCTTATAATTTTCTGAGTACAGGTGTTTAAATTCCTTGGTTAAATTTATTCCTAAGTATTTTATTGTTTTTGAAGCAATTGTAAATGGGATATTTTCTTAACTTCTCCTTCTGATAGTTTGTTATTGGTGTATACAAATGCAACTGATTTCTGGATATTAATTTTGTATCCTGCTACTTCACTAAATTCATTTATCAGTTTTAATAGCTTTTTGGTGAAATCTTTGGGATTCTATATATATAATATCATGTCATTTGCGTATAATGACAATTTTACTTTCTCCTTTTCAATTTGGATGCCTTTTATTTCTTTTTCTTGTCTGATCGGTATGACTAGAACTTCCAGAACTCTGTTGAATAAAAGTGGTGAAAGTGGGCAAATACAGCCTACTCTTTGCTCACTAGGCAAGCTGCACTCTGACTCAGTGCTATATCTTCTGGTACCTTTTTAAATCTTGTACAAGGCTATTCTGACATTACATCTCTGTCTCTGTCCTTTTACCCTGCATGGAGACTCATTGCCTCTCCATTAAACTATTTTCTGATTTTGACTTTCTCACTAATTCCAAAACACTAGGTTCTTCAAAATTAACATTTTTCATTTTTGTCTTGAAATAAGCATATTGTATGTGGCAGAAACAACATGAGAAAATCTGTAAATTTCAGTCCATTGGTGTTTCTGTAATAAATTAGTCTTTAGCCATCTGGAATTATATTAATCTGAAGACTATGAAAAAACAATAAAAGTGAGAAACTTCAAGAAACACAAACTTTACAATGACCCCAAATTAGGGCTAACTAGTTAGCTCCCATGTTTACAATACCACGATAATGAGCTTGGTTTATAATTTCAAACCCACAGTTAGCATAACACAGGGAAAATCTATTCCGTTGTCATGGACTGAAACTCTGTTGCCAACCATATACATATACATATAGAATAGGCATTCTATAGTACAAGTTGGAATGAAGTGGGGATACTTCATACCCACCACCATTACTGGAGAAAGAAGTTACATTACCAGATGGGAGTACATTTAGCAAATGTTAGCTTTATTACGACTAAAAAGATAATTGCTACTAACCAGTAGAAAATACATCCAGATGTATTTGCATTATGTGATGAGGACCATAGTCAATATGTTATAAAACCGATAATTATATGGTTCTCTCAAGAGCTTCAACAAGATGCTAAAGCTTTGCTAAGAAACCAAAAGAACAACTCTGACCCCACCAAACTGACTCATCTGACTGGCAGTCTGTATGTTAAAGAGGTTAAATTTCACCTTCAGAGTAAATACCTCAAATTGAAAAGCCCAGCCCAGCCCAGCACCACCTGAGTTCCCAGCCATGTGTTTCTGTGCAAAATAAATCACTTGATGGGAAACAGGAAATTACCAATAAAGGCTGTTTTGGTTAATTACACTTGGAGTTATAACTAGAATAGGGAGAGCAGGGTTGTATCTTAAACCAGATTTGAATACCACACTGAGCATAAATAGAAAACTAGAAGACAGTAGTTATATTCATTGTCATTAAAACATTAAATTGTGCACTAAAAGGAAGTAAGTGTCTCAGGAGCAGTCTTGGTAACTCAGAATCATTGCTACTTAGAAAAAGCAATTTTTATGTGGTTAATATTAGCACAAATCCTTTTCTGCCTGCCTGCTTCCTAGCAACCTGAAGCAGAGTATCTGCTTGCCAATCTGCTTTTGGTAAAAAATAACAGAAGACCCAGTGAATTTGCGATAGCCCTGAAGAGGTGGGGGATGTATTCAATAAGCTCCACGCTGATTTTCTAAGCCTGGCATGTGATTTATGTTGTTGACCATCTGACCTTGCTGCCCTTTCTACCACAGGCTAGGGAAGATGTGATCCACATGCTGAAGACAGAGAAAACCAAGCCTGAGGTTCTGGAGGCTCATTACGGGTGTGCGGAGCCAGAGAAAGTGCTGCGGGTCCTGCACAGAGACGCCATCCTAGCCCAGGAGAAATCCATAGGAGAAGATGTCTATGAGAAACCAATTTCAGAGGTAAAAATGCGACACCAGTAATCCCCCTGGAAGGGAGCCTCACAGTGACATCTTTGCATTTTTCCATTTTATATGTTTTAACATTTTCTTTCAAAGGCAACTTTTTAATGATATACTAATATAAAATTAAAGTACAAAGAAATAATTCATGAATTATAGTGGATACATTTCGATGATAAAAATTTTAGAAGCATTTCCTTGAATATACTTAAAGCCCAAAATATATTTCTCATGTGAGTATAATAGCTACATGCTTTTGCAGTCTGTTATTCTTTCATTTCTCTAAGAGATTATGTGTGTAAAAATTTGAAGTGCTTATCAGTTTTAGCATTGAGCTGTCAGGATTATTATCGAACTGGTAACCTAACAGTAAATTGATTTCATTATTGATTTTTATGGTTGTAAAGCCACTGTGTTTGGTATCTTATAGACTCATAATTAAAATGGTCTCATATGAGTAGCTAAAATACAATAATGGTGGAGGCAAAATCCCAGTGAAATGCTTAGGGCAGTTTCTTAAGATAAAATCTGATAGGGCTATATTTAATTGTTTTTATATAAGATTGTATTAGGAACTATTGACTATTGTTATTAATTACCCATGATGTTACATGTTAAAAATACTGTCAAATTGAAGTAGAAGTTGAATGTTGAATTAGGGAACCAGCTGATAAATCTAACCATATTGACTCTTCAGAATTCATGTAAAAAATTTCATAGATGTGAAATTGGTATCATAAATGAAAAAAGAACATGGAAATTAAGAGTCTTAAGGAATTTATTATAATTTAACTTTTAGTCAAGACTTTGTACAACTTAGCTTGACAGATATCAGACAAAATCCGCTTTAAGCAGTATTCACAACAGATTGATGGTCCCATAATTTTATATTTTCTGCAACAAGGATAAACTGGAGCTCTGTTCTCATCTTTTTCTAAAATGTTAAGAGATGATTATATGATAGGATGCATTCAACAGGCTGGATCCACTTGCATGCCTGAGATCCACAGTTACTAGTTGCATGTGGCTTTGGTTAGATCACTTCAGCTCTTTGAGCCTTAATTTCCTTATCTGTCAGGTGGAAGAAATGACAGTGCGAATCTCAAAGAATTGTTCGGGGGATTAAATGAAACAATGCTTATAAACTCTTAACATAGTGTCTGATACATGCTAATTAACAAATAAAAGCTACTGGTATTTGCTGGGATCTGAGGTTGGTAATTGCTCACACCCTTAATTAGTCCCAAACTTGGAGGGATTTGAAAAGTAAAAGAAATATAGAGGTCAAAATATCAGTTTTATGTTATTATCATAACCACCTGGATTGGAGAACTCAGCTTGAATCAATGATATCATTTGGCTTCCTAGTTCTTTTCTCCCAAGTTAGACCTTGGAATGACCGCTCAAGGGAGAGGTTGGTCTGCAGAGCACACACACCCAGAATCACTGCCTCTAGCCCACCTAGTTTTATGGACAGTACACAAATAAAGGAGTTTCTGATCTACCTTCAGAAAGTAGACCTAAACCAAATGCTCCTGCCTCATGGACAGAAGAGCAGAACAGAAAACACCCACCATATGGGTTGTCCTTTTGGAATTGGCTAAGCTGGGCATGCTTCTTGGTTCCTTTCTCCCCTCAACAATTTGAAGAGTTATCCTTCCCTTGGGGAGGAGTGAGTGAGGAGGTAGAGAAAAGACAGAAGCTACTTTTCCCAATACAGTAAAACCTTGGATTGCGAGTAAGTCGTTTTGTGAGTGTTCTGTAAGACAAGCAAACATTCTATTAGGTTAGTGCAAATGTAATAATACATTTTTAACTTGGTAAACGAGCAATGTCTTGCAATACAAGTAGTTTGTTTCCAGAATGAATTATGCTTGCAAACCGAAGTATTACTGTACTGCCAAAATGGTGAAGTCCTGCTTTGTGAGAGAAATGGAATGCAAGAAAGAGAAAATTTATTTTCCTCCATCTATAGACTTTTGTTCTCTTAATCCTTTGGGCTTAACAATCAAGTTCATGTTATGCAGGAGCAAGAGTCCTGCTTTCAACGTCATGAGGCAAAAATCCCAAAACACAATGGTTGCATTAGTCTCCTGGGATCATGAGTAGATAGTCTAGATCTTCTTCCTAGAAACCATGCTACACCTTACGCTAAAAAATTATTGTTCATTCAAATATCCATACCAAATTAGGCCCGATAGGCTATTTAAAAGAACTCACCAGAGATTAAGCAGTGAAGCCAATATTGTGAACTCCCCCTCACATGCCAAATATCTGGGGAGAAATTAAGCAGCAAATATTAAATCTTCCTGAGCATCCTTGTAAATTAAAGTCTGGGATATCAGAATTCTTCAGCAAAATTCCAAAGAAAGTAAGGTTTCAGTTTCTTTCCTTCCCAAATTCTTATTCTTAGCTTTAGCCTGTGGGATCTTAAGTATTTTGAAAGTTGAATTATTATATCCTGAGATCCCTCTAGTCTACTTTTTTTTTTCAGAGTCCAAAGAATTATTAGGACACATGCAGTCATCATAGTACCAATCTCACATTCATAAGTTTAAAAAAATGAAAGAAAACTCCGAGCTCCAAGGTCAATTTCTCTCAAGTAAAATGGTGTTCCTTGAACCTAGGACTCAATGCAGACCCATGTTACTCTTCTTACCAAAACCAAAGCAGAGACTTAGGGATTGTCTAAGGGAAAGAGGGTAGATAGAGAAAATCCTCAGCTACAACAGGATTCCATTCAGTCTGGGGCAGTTGTCCACAAGAGACAGAGCCCATTACCATCAAAAGGTTAATAATTATGGGAAATGGCAAACCCTATGTGGGGTGGAGGGTTCTGTTTGCATATACTATCCTTGTCCTCAGTGAGCCACATTTGAATATGTAGCTCTTTTTGTGATGTTTAGGGATTTGAAATTGTGACGTTCTCTGTGCTTAGGCCTTATTTTAGAAGCTCCACTTTTCCACCTGCCTATTTAAAACCTCTTTAATCTTTTTATTTTTTCAGACTGTATGCCCAGGCCCAGGAAACCTATCTCTTACCAGTGGTTTTCCTTATTGTCCCTTTGTTTCAACTGGAGAATCACCCACTCCCCCAGGCAGCCCCTCCTGAAGCCTGTTGCCTTGGGACCTAGTGACGAACATACCTTACTTTGTTGCTGCTGTTCCTCAGAATTTAACCTTTCTCATGTTTGAGCTTTCTAAACCTTGAGTAATTTGTCCTACTTGAAACAACAAAAATATTCTCTTTTGTCACAACCTTTTGTTCAGTAAGAAGGCTCGGCTGAATTTTTTTTTTTTTAATCACATTTGGGCCAGTTTCTTGAAGTGATCTCTTCTTTCTCTATCAGTATTTTATGGATCTTAAAGTTTTTTATTTGTTTACTTCTATTTTTCCTATGCTTTCAGACCCAGACATTTGTTTTCCTTATATTACCTTCCATATTCTATGTTGTATGGGCTTCCTCAGTGAGAGAAGCAAAATCAAGGGATTATGAGTCTGCCAAGAGGATCCTTCATTCAACACAAATCTTACCTACTTTTATGTCCTTGAGTTGGATAATCCTACCTAAGGGGTCTTTTCCCATCATACCACATCCATGTTTGGACTGTATCTGCTGCTGTTCTACCAGAATCCCCTTTTGTTTGTCTCATCTTTCCTTCAAACTCTACATCTCCAAGTTTCTTGAGCATGTTTACTCAGGGCCCATCTAAACAGCTGACACCCTGAAATTCACCTAATAATACTTCAGATATTCTACCCTGATCTTCTCACTTTTTTTTTTTTTAAAAGATTTTTGTTGGGGAATTGGGGGAAGGGGAACAGACAAGTTGCTGTCGTTTTGTTCTTCAGTCTAGTTGTGGAGGANGGATCTGCCTCACCCGGGAAGAGCGCAATGATGGTGCCAACTTGAGCCAGTGAAGCAACGTCCTCCACAACAGTGACTGAAGAACAAAAAGACAGCAACTTGTCTGTTCTCCTCCCCCAATTCCCCAATAAAATCTTTAAAAATAAATAAATAAATAAATAAATAAATAAATAAATAAATAAAAGATAATGCCTATTAATTCGAAAAAACATATGCACCACTATGTTCATTGCAGCACTATTTACAATAGCCAAGACTTGGAAACAACCGAAATGCTCATCGGTAGACGATTGGATTAAGAAACTGTGGTACATTTACACAATGGAGTATTACTCAGCTATAAAGAAGAAGGAAATAGTACCATTTACAATGATATGGATGGAACTAGAGAACATTATGCTAAGTGAAATAAGTCAGTCAGAGAAAGACAAATACCATATGATCTCACTTATACGTGGACTCTAAAAAACTGAATAAAGGAGAAATATAAACAGAAATAGTCTCAGAGACACAGAGGAAAAACTGAGGGTTACTAGTTGGGAGGGGGTGGGGACGAAGGAGAAGGGGAAGGGATGAGACAATACAAATTGGTAACTACAATATAGCCTCAGGGATAGAAAAGACAATCTTGGGAACATAATCAATAATGTTGTAAATATTTTTTAGGGGACAGGTTGGACTCATGTCTGGTCAAGGAGACTACTTCATAGTCGGTGTAGAGGCCTGACCACTACACTGTATATCTGAAGCTGATGTTCAATAATATTGTATGTCAATTACAATTATATATACATATAGTCACGGGATGTGGAGTAGAGTGTGGGAATGGAGTCAATGGAATTGTAATAGATAAGTATGACATTGGGGGTGGGAGGACAGTGGATGGGAGGAGGGGGGTTGTTACTTTGTGAGGGTGAAAAGAATAACTATTGCATTGTTCTGTATACCTGAAACCTAATAAAATTTAAAAAAAAGATAATGCCTTAGGACAACAGGCTATCTGATCATCAAAAATTTCTGATTAATCCAAGGTTATGATATGAATTAATTTACTTTTACTGTTATGGAAACTTTCTGAAATGTATTTAATTTTCGTTAAATTTTATTTATTTTTTATTTTTTAATGTTTTTTAGCTGAGCCATCTTGCCACCTGTGGGCAGCTCAGCTGCAGATCTGCTTGGGCTGGAAATCGAACCAGCAACCCTGTTGCTCAGAGCTCGCACTCTTGAATGAGCTCTTAACACCAACTGAGCCACTTGGCCGCCCCCTCCCCTTTTTTTTNCACTGGCCCTCATATGTGGGATCCAAACCAGGGCCCTCTGGCATCCCAAGCCAGCTCCCAACTATCGCGCCACTCGGCCAGCCCTCTTCTCACATTTTAATTCTTAAATCTGTCTATATGTTACGTAACCACTTTGGATACTGCTGCAGTCTTCAGGAGAAGGGGCCCCAGTTGATCTCATGAAGGACTATCTGCACTTTTAATCATGCTCCTCAAACATTTCCTGGATCCCAACACCCTCTGTGGCTGGGGGAAGTCACATTGCTCTGTTTTCTGTGCTCTCCTGTCTCTGCCTCCTCTGATCACTCACTCTGATTCAACAATGACTACATTTTCTCTCTTTTTGTAGCTCTGTCTTTAAGAGCACGTAGATCCATTTCCCTTTTTTGTAAATCTAGTTTGGTCTTTAAGACCTCATGTTTCCTGTTAAGTAGATTTCTCTCTTCCTAAATTCCTTAATACTTCTCCGGCTAGCCTTCTGCTGATAACAGAGCTAAAATCATTTCCTAAACTATGATCCTGTTGTCTAAAACATACTGCAATGTCTCCCCAACAAAAATCCTTGAACTTCTTCTTTGCCAGCTTGATGCACTAGAATAAGACTTCTAGATACACTTCTTCCTGAGTAAATTTTGGCCTTATGATGACCTCATTCAATTTTATTTCCACTTCCATCCAAGTAGGAGCTATATTTCCAAAGTAATAAGTGCCCATTTCACTTTCACTACTCATTAGTAAAAACTGCTATTCCTCTGTGGTTGAGCCACACTTTATATCCTGAAAACCAAAAACCATGGACACAGTATATATGATGAAAGAATCTACACAACCCATAGTTATGGGAAGTGGTCTTCAGTGTGGACAAGCTACATAGATCCAAGAGGTTAGTCCACCTTAGTTCTCTCCTAGGATATCAATGCCGTCCCAAACAAAATAATGAGAAACAGGGTCTGGCAGAGCTGATCTATTGCTATGTTAATTCTTACATCCAGAGTTTAAAATTGAAAGCTAGATCCTCACACATTAACGCTGACTGCTAAAGAGGAATTTATAGTAATATCTTGGTTTGTGAGCGTAATTAGTTCAGGAAACAAACTACTCATATTGCAAGACATCGCTCGTTTACCAAGTTAAAATGTATTAGAAGTGTTTGCTTGTCTTGCAGAACACTCGCAAACCAAGTTACTTGCAATCCAAGGTTTTACTCTACTATCTCTGCAGTTTAAAGCCTGAGTTTGTAGTTCTGTGTGGAAAATGCAGTGCACACACCAATGGCATCCTTCCTATGGGTTAGATGCAAAGAGGCAGTCTTCCTGATTATGTAGTCAGTTCCGGGGTCAAGCTATGCTAGTGTAGGTGAGGTGAACATTGCCCACAGAGACCCCAGCAACTATAGAAGTGGTCCAGCCACAGGAGTGGAGCTGTGGCAAACAACCAATCTCAAAGGCCCAGACGGAAAGAATGTGTTAAGGCGAAGGCCTACTTCCTGCCCAGGCTGCCCCAGAACACTTAACACCAATGCATGCTGTTTTTTGCTCCAGATGCTCCTACAGTGTCTATCTCTCTGGATATCTCAGTCAATCACCCAATGAATAATGCTGCCATCTCCCCCCTCCAGAGTCCCTTGAATGGATTGAGGGATAACTACAAGAATCTAATAAATGACTTAAAATATTTAGCTTTATTATTGGTATACCTAGATAAATGATCTCACCAGGCTTTCTATACTTTCCCTCCTAGACTTTGGAGAAACCACTTGAGAGAGAGTTTGGGCCTACAGAGCACAATGTACCATCTTACAGTAGGCAGAGTAAAAAATAAGAAATGAAAAGGTTGAACTGCTCATTTTGTTTCCTATCCCAAATACAACCTTCAAATCAGTCACCCTTTTTCCTTAGGGAGGAGTGGGGGAGGGTATGAAGAAACAGGCAGAAGCTGCTCTGCCAAATACTTTGAAAAGGATGGAGAATATTACTTTATCATAAAGGATCAAAAAGGGGAAAGAGTTGTTTCTTCTGTTTCTCATGATGAGAAGAAGGATGATGAGGATAATGATGTTTCAGTGATGCTTGACAAATTCTATAAAATGTCGTGAAAATCACATTTGTAGGAGGATGGGAGAGTTCTTAGGGAGGATATTTTGTAATACGTAGCTATACCAATGAGAAAATCTCTTCTGTAGGCTGTCACTTTAAGATGACAGAAATTTACCAGAACTCATAAAAGTACAATTTGCTGATCTCTGATGATCTTGGATATTATCAGCCACCTGGGCTTCTCCACCAGTTTGTCTGGTCACCTGCCCTTAGACAAGGGATTGGAGATGTAGGCAGAAGACACTGAGAAATATGGGGGCAGTATCTCTGAGAAATATGGGGGCAGTATTTCTTTTATTCTGGGCCCCAGAAATGATCCACTCACAATGAAGTTATGCAACTGTGGAGGGAAACTTGGATCATTCTCATGATTGAAGGACAACTTGGAAAACCCAGGGGAAACAGCTCTGGTACTGATACCCTGTGGTGCTACTCCATTAGGTTTTAGGGAGTTGGTTTTGGGATTGAGAATGGGTTTTAAATTTACCTATTTCAACATATTTAGAGCAGTGGTTCTCAGCTGGGGAAGGGTCAGCAATTTTTCCCAGTAGTGGACTTTTGGCAATGTCTGTAGAGTATTTTGTTACAGCTAGTGGTGGTACTACTGATGGTGGAGGCCAAGGGTGCTGCTAAACATCCTCCAGTGCACAGAACAGCCTCCCAAAATAAAGAATTATATGGCCTAAAATATCAGTAGTGCTGAGTTGAGAAACCCTGTGCTAGAGTTTGAAGAGGAGAGTAGGAAAGGAAACTATTACTATTGTAAAATTTGATCCAATTTAACAAATGTTTAATGAACATTTACTTTGATCCAGGCACTGTGCTGGGCACTAGGGACTAAAAAGATGATTGAGGCATGACCCCTTCAAGATCACATAGCCTGGCCAGAAAATAGGCACAAAGCTCTGTAATAATATTTGATGAGACCTCTTCTAGTCTGAGACATGTGCTCTCTACTACTTTTGAAATCCTCCCTATATTAGCATCTCTTGAAAAAGAGGACTATGGGCCCTTCATATACTTTTCCTAGAAATGCATTTAACCGGAAACACAAAAACAAATTGTGATGATGATAATTACCTCCCAAGGGAGGAGTTTAGTTGCATGTACATGCTGAGCTCTTCGTTGTTCTAAGATGAGGAGGGATGTTATCTTCTTTCTTTCTGAGTAGAGGGCTTTGTGCCATCTCATTAAAACAGTGAAAGGGCTTGTGCTTTTCAAAGTTTAGAAGTTATACCTATGTTCACAGAAAAGGGGCCAGAAGGCCAGTTGTTACTGCAGTTTTGTTCTTGGCTAGTTTATAAAGCCAAGTGACCTAGAGAAAAGGACGGAATGGGGAAAATGGCAGAGAATACCAGACTCCATATTCTCCCCTTCAGGTAACAAATCACATTAGACCAATGTAAACACATTATTTACAGTCATATGCAAATAAAAGAAAACATAAAGATATTTCCCATTTTTGCTTACTCAGCTGGACAGACTTGAGGAAAAACAGAAGGAAACCTACCGGCGCATGCTAGAGCAACTGCTGCTGGCGGAGAAGTGTCACAGGCGCACCGTGTACGAGTTAGAGAACGAGAAGCACAAACACACCGACTACATGAACAAGAGCGATGACTTCACCAACCTGCTGGAGCAGGAGCGGGAGAGGTAATGTGCACACACGCCGCCCGTCACGTCAGGAGGCCTGCAGCCGTCATCTCTGGCCCCCCTGTTGGGGATCAGACTTGCTCCAGTGACACCACAGACGTGTCCAGGGTCTAATTCCCAGTTCTGAATGGTGTGTGACCATAGAGAGTGAGACAGACTTTTACCTGAAAGCATTAATGTGAACACTTAGGGGTTCATGTAAGTAGGGCTCCACATTCCCATTAGGATGTTGAAAGCCATAAAACTATAAAGCTGGAAACAAACCCAGGGAGTTTATCTATGAACTTGATCAATGAAGCACCTGCATTTGAAAAGCCTCTCTACTAATTGCTTCTTATTTCAGATACTCTACTTGTTCTCTTTGGGATTGAAATCCAGGAAGGCAAATTCTTAAACTTAACAATTTTAAATGAATCTTATTCATTCTTAATTCCAGTATAGAACATCTTAATACTAATGATATTTAAAATATTAATATTAATGACTAGAACTACCTGCTTAACTTTCTGAGGGTTGAAAACTCTTAAAACTCAGTGTCAAAAAACAAAAACAAAACAAAACAAAAAAACTCAGTGTGTTGAGCCTTGCGTATCTATCCTCGTAAGCGGTTTTCTCAGACCAGTGATCGCCACGTTTGAAGCAGAGACTCCAAATTGACAAGCTCTGTAATTAACTCTTCTATACTATCCAGTTTTTTTCAGCATCTTCTTTTTAGCTTGTTCTCTTCTTTTTCTCCCATCAGCTGAATGGTGCTATGCCTGTGAATGTCACAGTCTTTGAAACCAATGACATTGAGTCCTGAAGCTTTGAGTTACCAAGCGTGTCTGCTTCTGTGTTTGGGACTTGCAAATTAAGAGCCTCTCAGGGACAGCTTACCCAATCCCAGCTTCTTATCTATTTAGTTACTGAAAAGAGATCTGGTTTACTCAGTTTACTTACCAAAGAATACTATTACAATAAGAGAGCAAATAAAAACATGAAACAGAACAAGTTTGTGTTAAACTTTTAGAAAATTTTGGTAATGTTTACTTACTTATTGGACTTGGCACATCCCTTGGGGAAGCAGAAGTGGAAAAGAGAACAATGGCTGGAGTGTTACATACAAAACCCTCAATTTATGGCTTGTTTAAGCGTGTCTCCTGCTTCTGTAAGCTGTTTATCAGCTTCATGTGTGAATAAATAGATGGTCTAACTTGACATTTTTGGTAACCACTGATAATAAACTCTACCTCCTCAACCTCTGGGAACTTTCCCACTATCAAGCAGTTATTGCAAACAAGGCCCTAATGACAGTATAAATGATGTATTTCTATGACAGACCTTCAGTTAGGGGTCCTGTGCTGGAAGGTGTCAGGTAAAAGAGTAGCAACTTGTCTGATTATTGACTTTTTAAAATCTCTGAAATCAAATAATTGGAAAGGACACCTGTGTTTGTTTTCTGATCACTCTGTAAATTATTTCATGTGTAACCATGTCTTTTCTATAATTTAGCACCTGAGTTAAATGCCTGAGGTGGCACCAGTTCACTTACAGAGTTGTTGGCTTAAATGATGTGGATGGAGACTGTACTTAGCTAGGCTGTTTTCCTAATTTTTGTGTTCTGTGAGAGTAATTGAAATGATAACACATGATGGAGAGCTTTAGAATTCACAAAGTACTTTTACATCAATTATTCAGTGAGCATATCCCGGATGTGTCTATTTACTAACTTTAGGTCAGCTCTAGATGAACTATTCCCATCCCTTGCTCCTTTTTTGTAGTTAATTTTACTAAGACAACTACAACAACCACATCTCCTGAGTGAAGTGCCATGTAGGTTTTTAAAAGTCAGAGTAAAATTAAAATAAAAAATTATCTCAAGGTGCTTTTGATCCACACAACTGGGATATATCACCAAACTTTCATGTTTCAAATAAAAATTCACTAAGAGAACTTTGACTCTCGCTTAAATATCAAACCACTGTAAGGTTTTGAAATAGTATTTTTTGACTCAACAGGTTATACTTTAGTGTTTTATATTTTTCACTGTCAATGTTTTTCCCAGCCCAATCCCCTGTCTGCCCACTTCACTGCAGGCACACCCTGACATACTTGTTAAGCTAAATTAAACACCCCCACCAGGACCCTGGTAACTTAAGTGGGCATCTCTGAATTTCTCTGCGATCTGAGGCATCTACTGTGACTGGCCTGCAGCGTTCCTGGGGCAGTGAAGCCTGGAGGATTTTCTCAAAGGTCAGCCCTGGGATTCCTGCTGCCCTTTGGAAACTGCTCTGCTAAATCTGCTTTGGGTTAAATCCCCCTTTTGAAGTAAGCGGTCGTAATTAGATCTACTTATCGGGCTGGCAGTTTACTGACCCCGGGTCTTTTCAGTGGGCCAAGTCACCAGAGAGCCCCTCCCCATAAGGACCTCAGACTGTGGCCTGGCACCTAGTCCCTCAGGGCTCAGCCAGGGCCCATGCTCTGAGCTGTTCCTGCGTAGGTACCGCGTGGCTGCAGCACCTGCAGGAGAAGCTGAACTGAAGCTAATAAAAACACCAGCATTTCCCAGCACGAGTGGAAGATGTGTAGACTGTACCAAGTCCTTTGTTTGCTTCTTTGTCTTGCACTCCCTTCTCCTTCTCCAGAAAAATCCTTTGTGTGTGAGGGTGGGGTGGGGGTGGGGGGATATGCAAGAATTTTCCCTTTGGAAACATTTACCTTTGTTTCTACTGTGAGCCTGAGTAAAGGAAGGAAGAAAGTGACTTGAGATAAGCCTAAGTGGTTTGATTCTTATAATCACTCAGCTTCTCCCACTGGGTGTGTGATTTTACAGGCTATCCCCACACCAGACAGCAATTTATTTGTTGGTAGCGGGGTGATGGGGGGAGGGATTCAGAGCCAGTAGACTCTACTAAGATGGGTAACATCTAGGCCCCATTCTCTATAATTATCCTGCTCTGTAAGGGGTTCTTACTTCCTCTGTGAAAATGACTAATAAAAGAACCCAGGTATACAGGGTCAGCAGCAGGTGTTGATAAGCAATCGAGATTCAGGTATTTGATGAAACTAGGAATCTGAGGCTCTGAGCATTGCAAAGGACTTCTGAGATCAGCTCTCTCAGTCCCTCATTCTACAGGTAGAGAAATTGAGGCCAGAAAAACTATGTAGCTCTACTAAGATCATAATGCAGGCCACTGGTCTAGCGTTTTTATGCAAATGGATCCCTTGTGCAAAATGGTGTGTTTTATGTGCTCTCTCTCTCTCTCTCTCTCTCTCTCTCTCTCTCTCTCTCTCTCTGTATGTGTGTGTATGTGTGTGTGTGTCTCCCCACCTCTATGCTCTTATGTCTAAACTATGACACAAAGCCTTAAAAGGCAGAATGGTGGATATTGTGAGGATGTGAACACAGAGATTAGGACCAGTGGTGCCTCTAGACTGTTAAGATAGGAGAAGCTTTGAAACAGTATCTGTGGACGAAACAGCCTGGGTACTTGTTTTGGAGTCGAGTTTGACCAGCGTCTACAGTGTTCTACTTTAGTTGCATTCTGTTTGGGCTAGTTATTCTGGGAACCTGATAGTGGTTATGGGAAGGCTAAATACAGCCCCCCTCCAAGCTATCTCCTTGTTATGGCCACTGACCTAGATCATGAAAGTGTGAAAACTCTAGAAACAGAAATTATTTTTCACTTTTCAGTAGTTGTTAAATTTATCTTGCATAAAAATTCCACAAATTAGGTATCTAAAATGGGCAATATATTGTTCTGGGCTAAGTCAACAGACTTTTATCATAATTTACTACCATCATCTACTGCATATTTATTTTTATAAATGGTCATATTCCAAAATTAAAAAGAGGAAATAGCATGAAAAACTGCATTGGCTTGCCTGGCATTGTTAATAATAAACATGAAAATATCCATCATTGTATTAAGATTGGGTAAAGAAAGCTCCCTTTCTAAAGACTATATTCTGTTTGGTCCATATTTTAAGCCAACTTGGTCTTTAAAGGCATAATTCTAAGCACATGAGATCACCTTTAGAGTTTATACTTTATTCCTTGTCTGAACTGCAAGGCTTGTGATTTTAATCTTAAGCTGCACTAGGGCAGCTTCAAGAATGTCAGAATAGAGAGAGCACAGTTACATCAGAAAATGGTCTGCAACCTAAGGAAATATTTGAGGGTGTGTGTGTGTGTGTGTGTGTGTGTGTGTGTGTGTGTGTGTGTGTGTAAATTATGTGGGGGAATGCTGTCTAAATCTATAATTGTAGATATAGATTTTAAAGCTTTTGGATTCTATAGGCTCAGCTGGGACTGCACAAATAATTACATCATCATATAATATTGCAGCAAGCCTTCCAAGTATAAGTTCTTGTTTTCTTTTTAAAGTACAAATCAGCATCTCAGAGAAATCTCAGAAGTTGTGAAGCAGAAATAGCAGGAGTAGGAGCTTGAATGGAGGGGAAGCTTTCAAGCCCCATTTTGGCATTGTTCGTTGAGGTCAACGTGAAAGGGACTGAGCGTTGGCCTGGTGGTCTGTGCCTATGTGGAGTAACTACCAGTCAGAGCAAATGTTTGACACTTGAGAAATATTCTTGGCTCATTTTATAAAAAAAGATTCACATCTGGTTCCCTGGCATAATTTCCTGAAGTTTCTTGGATTTAGATGCCTTATCTCTAAAATATGGCAATACATTTTACTTTTCTCACTGGTAGGTTAGAGAATCACTTTGTAGAAAAAGATTGCTGTTGATGTGTAAATGATCAAGTCTTATCAAGCAGAAAGTAATCAATAGGTGGAGCATATCAGCAGAAAACAACAGAGCCCTTTCTCTGTGTTAGAGCCCTGCTAGATGCTGTTCAATAGCAGTTAGCTTTTATTGACTTCCCCAGTATGCTGGGCACATAGATGTCTTGTTTAATCCATATATACATATATATAATATACATATAATTGCCATCCTTATTTAGGATTTGAGAAAGCAGACAGGTTACGACGTTCCTTCCATCAAGGTCACTTGCC